TATCTCTTCAGGCAACTAATTTACAACTACCCAGAGCAACTGTTCAGTGATGCGGGTGTGATGGCTATTGAGCACGCAGATTTCGAGGGCGTCGAACGTTTGGCCTTGGTGACTGGTGGAGAGATTGTGTCTACTTTTGATAATCCGGAATGTACAAAACTTGGTCATTGCAAGCTGATAGAGGAAGTAAGTTTTGAAATCTATTATCATTTCAAAGTTCTTAGTTAATGCACTTTTCCTTGTCCGCAATGTCAAAAGTAAAAATTGCGTGCAATAAACAAACAAAAATGTTTGTTATCCCTCTACACAGAACTCATTGCTTTTGTGTCGTTGATTTTGTTCTACGTTTGTATGTCTCAGTACATTATACAGATACGTATATATTTTATATTAAGTAGTATATGAGTGACTAGACAAAATTTCCGAGAAGCGCGCGGCTGGCTTCACCTTTCGTGCACCTCTTGAGGTATGCGCATCTGTTTATCTTTTGTCAATTCATTCGTATGCCTGTGTACAGGAAGTATGTTTTCGTCACAAGTACCTCATTGGTCACACCAGGTGAATTTTTCAGAAACGATCATTCATGAATCAATACTGTGATTTTATCTCCGCATTCACCTCAACTCTCAGATCCCGTGTGCATTATCATTGTCAAAATATTTATCGCAAACAACTTTTTGCGGCGGTGTCTATGGTCGGTAACTTTTAAAGTATTACCAACAAGGCAGTGGGACGTAGACCCAACGCAGGAGTGTGACTAGAGCACCAATGAAGGAGTTTCCAGAGACCTCTTACGCAAGGCCATCGAGTTTCGGTTCTGTGTTGTTCCTCGATGTACTGATTGACAGTCCGCTGTTCGGGTTAGGCGCCTAGACTCCTAAACCGTACGTGACAGGCGATACGTGAAAGGGGCAGCACCGTATTGGCTGGAAGCTGCCCAGCCTGGGTGAGTGGTAGCTGTACAGCGAATTGCGAAAACTTCTCCCACCGACGGGAGGAAGCTCACAGTATCCTGCTCCTATGTCCATGTAGCGATGAAATGCTCCACCCATTTTTGACAGGGTGCCCTCCCTATGGGCAAGTGAATACTCAAGGGAAGTCAGGAGGTGCACAGGCAGCTGTCCTTAAGGGAATAAGCTGTTTCGCCTCTACCCACTGACCTTTCAGGCATGATTAGATCTATGGCTGTGCGAAGCCATCCTGTGTCGCTCTCAGGGTCATGGTGGCATGCGAGCCTAGACACTACGTCAAGGTGTAATCTCGTATCGTGGTATCAGCATCAGTGTAATTTTGCTTGTTTGTCCAATAGTTTTCATACCCGCACGATCATTCCAGTCCGTTGCTGTCGGATAGTAGCTTTCATGTAGTTTCATCTTTGCTACGCAAAAACTTCGAAATTTTCTAGATTGAAGTTATTTGTCGAAATCAGGTTACATTTGCAATCACGAGCGATCCTGTGGTACCAGTTCTTACAAACAAGAATTCCGTAGGTAAAATTGAGCAAAGGCGAAGGTTTGCTGAAAATCACCGTATGTTAGGTCAGTTTTATCTTTTATCGTTTCATCTTCCATTTAGGTGACTATTGGCGAGGACAAGTTGCTTCGTTTTAGTGGGGTCGCCATGGGTGAAGCTTGTACCATTGTCTTACGGGGTGCAACTAAAAGTATTTTGGAAGAAGCAGAACGTTCTCTGCACGATGCACTCTGTGTTCTGGCGCTGACGGTGAAGGATCCCCGCACTGTATGCGGTGGAGGAGCTATGGAGATGTGGATGGCCGAGGCTGTCACCCAAGGTGCAGCTAAAACACCAGGAAAAATTTCTTTGGCCATGGAGTCGTTTGGCAGGGCCCTGAGACGCTTACCTTCAATAATTGCGGACAACGGTGGATATGACAGCGCAGATCTTGTCTCACAGTTGCGTGCTCACCATGCCAAAGGCGAACATAAAATGGGACTCGGTGAGTGACCATGCTCCAAATCAAGATGAAATTCCTTTAATTTACATCATAAGGGCCTATGTGTATACCATGCAAAGATTGTAGTCGGCTGCCTGTGTTGACGCGGTGTCCGCCTTTTTGGGAAGACGGTAATGAGAATTATGAGAACCGTTCAGATTTTCAGAACTTTTATTACTGACAATACAATTAAAAGCCGTAAATCTGCGGCTTTTGTTTGTTCATTCCCGAAGCTAGGAATCATCTCAAGTATCACAAGATGCGCAAAAACTGTATTCAATTGCACTCTTTCATTTCAGATATGATGAACGGCTGTGTCGCAGACATGACCCAGTTGGGTGTTCTGGAGTCCTATCGTGTCAAGTATCAATTGGTTGTGGCTGCGTCGGAGGCTGCCGAAATGATCTTGCGTGTTGATAGCATCATCAAAGCTGCTCCGCGCCGTCGTGCTCCGCCTCGTCGCTTCTAAACGTGCTGCGCTAACTGCATTTGTTCGACGGTTTTTATCTGAAATAAACCGCGGTTCCTGATCTGAACTGACTTGTTTTTTGTGTTAGTTGACATCATTCCCAAATCCTAAGAAATCTTGTTCTTCAAGCGTCTTTATTGGAATAATGTATCAAGTTTGTCTATAGTCAGTTCTAATCAATGTATATCAATGGAGATACCACATAATCGAACTCACGAGAGAAAATGGGCTTTTCAGCTACTCACTGAATTGATAAGTAATTTACCTTCGGCTGACCAATCACTCCAGTGGCGTTTAATCGATTTCTGGGACACTATCACTATAAAGCCAAGATCATCTCGACCGTTCGTGTTGATGAGTGTTGTTTGTATGACGGTTCAAGGGGACAAATACACTGAATGGTTCGGTCAGCAAAGTCATATTGTTTGCGAAACATGCGAATTATGACACTAATGCCCGTTTCTCGAACCACTGTTCCACATTCTTGGTGGATGCCAGACAGTGAGTAGAAAATAATCCATGCAGTGAGCCTTGGTGCCTTACCAAACAGGCTTATTATAACACTAGGGTACAATGCATCGTCCTCTCCTAAGTCTGTTGAAGAAATGGTAACGTCCCTTGGTTCCATGCATTGATAGTCGAGGTTCCATCAGCGTAGGACTATTCAGTTCAGTTCATTTTGCACAGAATAGGAAATCACCACGGCTGATTGATCTTCTTTTTGTACAGAAGTGCGAGCGGACTTCAGTGCATTGTGGTGAGCCAACCCTCCGAGTTAATGCCAGCCAATCGGCTACGTGATCCTGTTTCGAGGCGTCGAACCACAGACCACCAGTACCGATCAATCAATAACCGCTACTGTGCATTTCTTGATGACTTGCTGCTGCAGACAGGCTGCGTCCAAACCTAACGAAAATCGATATCCGCTCTTGGGTTGTTACAAGCTTTCACACTCGCACATTTAGTACCTAGTTCACGATTGCGACGAATCTTGCAGAACTGGTGGCTATTTATAATTCACTCAGGTCTTCAGCCACATCCCTTGCGCCCGTAGTTCATTATAGAATATTGCTTCAGATGATGTTCTTTTATACTATTTGACATCACAAAGCGCAGTTGATTTAACATGTGGATGAATTTGCTTTCTAGTTGACACTGGAGAAGGTATCTTTAAGATACTGTCTGTTCATCCTATCTAATCCAGTCAACCTGACCAATTTGGATCGCGAGACGAAGAACTCCTACGGCATTGTTCTGCATTTTATCGTACTGGGCTAGAGAGCAGAAGAAAGGTGAAATTTCTAGAATCACCGAAACGTTTCTGTCAGGAAGGTTAAATTCCAAAAAACATTCGGTCGAAAAATTCATATTTCTGGCGGCAAAGCCGCAACTGGGTGAGCCTCCGGGT